ATTTCTTTTTAATTTCAAAAAAAGTATTCTACTATACTTACAAATTTCACAATTCATATATTTAAAAAAAAAGAAGATATTTCAGTATACCTTGGGTAGCAATGTAGGAACGCTTTCCTTGGACATCCTATAATCGTAAATGGAAAACCAGAATCAGAAATTTTTCAATGGTTGATACGCTTACTATATACTAAGTGAAACAAATAAACAATATTTTTAAAAGTGAAAGAAAACGTACGCTAAATATATTTTAATATTCTCCCTTTCAAAATGCGTTTTATAATTATTTGGATTATGTATATATTATCTAAACAAACCTCTATATAGTTAGCATTGATGTAATCCCCTCCATTAGATGATGATTTTTTCAATACGACTCGAGAATGGTCATCTGAAGGTATTGTAAATTTTAAATGCAATGATTTTACAAAAATGAATGTTTGTGTTTCCAAAAAAATTGATGTCTTCGAATGCTCATGTTCTTACATGGAAACGTTGTTTTGTATCTATTTTTAGATTTATTTTCTGGTCGTTTCGCTTCTTCACATGGATGAAGTTCACCTTTTGGGATATCCTGTAAAAAACAAGTTTTGTAACAGTTTAAAAACCACCTTAAGCTTAATCATCATTTTCAGCGAATTAAATTACAAAAACTCGATCGGGTTTTGGATGACTCTAATTTTATAATTAGTAACAAGTATATTTCTCCATAACATACTTTCAGCTTTTATTAAATAATTCATTTTTGATGTTACAAAACTTATTGGATAGATTTACTTTAATAATCAGTTACCTGTATGTTTCTCTGCTACATGCTTTCAGATTTAATTAGTCTTACCTGATATTCATGTTGAAAGCCAGTATCCTCTGCGGCAGACATTTGAGATATAATGGCTGGTAAATTTTTCACTGGTATACACTTATTTGTCGGTGGCCCTCTCTTGGCACTCTCGTTTTCATCTTTTGAGTTATGAACAATGTCTGTATTATTTAGGTTGTCATCTGCAAAATAACGTACATGAATAATTTTTTGTACATTGCATTTCACTTTATTACCTTATGGTACTATATAAAATAAAACCACACAGTTATCCTGAAGACACGCACTAAATGCTTTTATTTTTTCAATGAAAGCTGCACAGAAAATTCTAAAGGATCAATTTAAATAATCAAATAATACTAAACACGATTATTTTTGCGTTTATCAGATGAAAATATTGATAAAGACTTGCTTTATTCTTTTAATGCACATTTAAATGTCTAATGGTCAAGTAGAAATTCCGAAGTTCAATTTTTTTCTTTTTTGCGATATACTTCCTAATAAAGTACCGGTGATACAAACATCAAAAATCCTAAAAATATAAAGCTGAGTAATATTAATTTGAGTTAAAATGAATAAGATTATCAGAACTTGCATGTATTTTAGTTTAGTTTATTCATCAAAATTTCACAATAAAGGGATTTTAAGTGACAAAAAAAGGTATAAAATGTGATTAATAAAGATTGTTGCAATTAAGTTTTTGAACACTATTAAAATTTTAAAATTAATTATGTTTTAGAAATTTATTAGTTGCATGATTTACAATCAAAATAGGTGTAAAATACAGCAATCCAGACATCCGTATATTTTGTATGAAAGAAAGATATGAAAGAAAAATGAAATAAATATATGAAATTAATCAGTATCCGAATTATAATAATCTTAAAGACCTTACGTTCTGACGAGGATTCCCTGTTCACTCTTTCTACGATAGAAATATGCTTCATGTTAAGTATATCTTTCTGTTTAGCTGAAGTCTCTGAAGATTTTCTTTTATATCTACAATGAAAACATATAAATCCATAATGCCAATATTCAGTATTAGTTTTTATTGAGTGAAAAAGAACAATCCCATGTAAAAAAAAAAAGTTGTAAATATTAGGCATTATCACTCAACGGACAACTTTGGCTCACAGAACCTTACGTACCGTATAAATAAAATAACCAAAACAACAATAATGATGACAACTGCTAACGGAATAACAACCCCAACAGCAGTTAGCGTATCTGATGAAGGAGAATTAGAAAGCTGATACGCTTGAACTATTCCTATAAGAAAAAAGAAAAAAAAGGCAAAATTTATTTAGCATTTCCATAAAGCAGCACTTCGGCATGCGAGAAAAAAGCCACCCTAAAGTTTCCTCAATTATTACGCAATTGTAAGTGGAATTACATATACTTTATGATTTTTGATAGTCAGAAAATAGAATAAATAGATAATGAATTGTGATTAGTAAAATCATTATAGTTGATGAATATGAAATACGTCTTTTCGAACCTTGATCGCATTTTTCGCCATAAGCTTCTTCTTTGCAACCAGACAAACAACTTCCGTTGAATCTGTCACATGTACGATTGACACAATATTCACTGCATGGGGTTTGGCAGTTTTCCCCATAGGTCAGAAAACATTCTTTGAAAAAAGGTTCATAAAAGATGATGAAATAAATGAAACTTCATGTAAAAAATTTAATACCGGTACTCCTATCAATAGAAATACACATTTGATAATAATATTAATACGTATCACGCGGACTTTACATTTGTACATGAGTGTTCATTATACTATAGTCATATGGCGTATGTTCATAACATAAAAATTATAGTGAACTTTTGCATTTGAAGTTATGTTGCAGTTTTTAATTCAAATTACAATTTCAAAGTTGATATTATTACAAGAATCATTTTGTTAGATTCAATATACATGATTTTGATGTACTAAAATATAAAGCATTGTCTTCTCTTTGTATCAATTTAGCTCGTACCTTCACTGCAATTTGAGCCCGTCCAACCCTCTGCGCAGATACAAGATCCGTCTGTGAATTGACATGTACTTATGCATCTCCGAGAGCAGTTACCCAGGCAATTTCTTCCAAAATGTCCAGGTAGACATGCTAATATTTTTCAAAGATGATAAAAACCAATTTATTGTAAGTTTTCTTTAGCACAGGGAAGAAAACATTATGTACAATAATGCCATATACATACGTTTTTTTTTTTTTTTTTTTTTTTTTTTTTTTATTTTATAAAATGAAATTCTGTATACAGGTTATTGTTCGCCTCCTTTTAAATTTCGCCCCTTTAGCCCTTCTTACAGTTGGGCGTATATAAAAAAAAGCAGGGCAATTTCAATTAACATCTTTTTAACACAAAAGATAACTGAGTAAATTTAAATCGGGACAAATTTGTTTGCAAATGTATAAGGGCAAATCTATCAATGGTCAATTCATTTATTGATTGTATGTCGTTTAACGTCCCCATCAAAATTTTTACAGTTATTTGGAGACGACACCACTTGCACGTGGTGAGCTACAAATTGTGTCCAATACTCAGTACTAAGCATAAGTGAGCAATGAGGTTTATTTTTCGTGCCAGCACCTACTTCGACACCTGACCTCGGTTTATACAGTCTCATCCGAAGAACCGGTGTACACGTCCATCAGTGGGATTCGATATCGTGACGAAACCTTACTTCGCGACTCTAAATCAGACGCTCTAACCATTGTCCTACGCGGGCTTAATTTTTTTTACATTGATTCTCTGTGTTTTGATAGGATGAGAACAATATCCAGAAAAAGTTAACACAGCGTTAATTTTTTTTCTATCAGAACTTCTTTCTTGACCTTGCTTATGGACTATTGTAAAAGCAACTGGAACAGGCCACAAACAGGACTGACAGTCAGAAGTATTGTGTTTATGTTACCGACGTATCACGAATTTTAAAAATCGATGCCAAATTCTCTACGTTCATAATACGACGCAAACCAGCGCAGATGATATTTTATATGATCGGGAAAAGAAACGCACACTGTACCTCAGACTCTTGCCTTTTTAGTATCATTCCTATTTTTACATTGTATATTCTTCCTCAATCTTTAGTCAAACCAAAGCAAATTGATGCATAGGTCGCCGATCTGCAATTTTAGCTCTAGAACGTTCTTGTTAATGTCATCTTGGATATGGATAAGGACGAATTAATCTCAAGTTTTCTCGTATTTACGATATTTCTGAACTTAAACAACATTCGATGAGTTTTTAGAAATTACTCATTGATTGTTTGGACAAATGTTGATAAGTTGAACTTGATCGACATTCATCTCGATTATGGGCGGCATAAACACCCCTTCTAATGTTATTGTGATTTAAATTCAAGACACGTGGTTTAGATTTACCTATTCAAAGGTTATAGGATAGAACAGGATTTATAGATAAAATTGGCAGTTAACAGGATTGCTATAGTCTGTTTCTTCTTAAAACATGTCCTGTGAAAAATGTGTTTCCAGACCTTTCTGAAAAACTTTCATGATTTTCAACAGAAATGGGTGGCAAAAGGGGGGGGGGTGTTAAATAAAATTGATACATCTTATCATAGTTTACCGCAAAAATTAAAGCTCAATAGCGACCGATACGCTAGTAAAAAAATTGTAATATCATTCACACTGACAAACCTTTGTTTGCCTTATATGGCTATCGCTATTAATGCGTACAGAGGATCATACTACGAGCAACTGACGAATTGATGATTGAATACGTTTACGCCAAGTACATATTTACATGATCATGTCAATGGAAAAAAAGTGCAAAAAAATGTTCTTATGAACAAAATGCAAACATTGGAAACTATGAAAGATAAAACGGGGCTCACGGGCGTTTTAATTTGTTGTTAACTACAGAAAATATGTTTTATATAATGTATACGTAGATAGTGTCAAGTATAACTATATTCGTGATCACGTGTGGTGGCCAGGGAATCTACCTGACAATTGTTTCACCGATAGTACAATAAAGGAAAGCGTAAAACCCCTGTAGTATTCGTAGTGACACATTATGAAATTCTCATTCAGCTGATTTGTCAGTTAAAGTCACATTGGTGCCTCATTTGTTAATCTGACGCTGAAAATATAGTCCCGGTTCCCATGCAAAATATTTGTCCAAAAAGAAATATTAATTCATGGCAGCAGAAAATTGTATTACTTATAATTTAAACTTGAATGAATTCAAGAGATACTTGAATGAATTCAAGAGAGATCTATTGAAGTAAAAAAATTGTACAGAATGATAATACTAGTATAAGGTTGTGAAAACTAAAACACAACATAACTTTTCTGTTTACCATGTCTCCACGTGCTAGTTACTGTAAACCAACTTTTTTTCGGGTGCGAGAAATTTTTGCGAAGTTCGCGAGGGCATCGTCATCGCGAATATTTCTCGCCGTTAATCGTTCCTTAAAATCTTTGTGTTTATATTAACAAGAGAACCAAAATAGGCTTTTTCGCGAAAATTAATCGTCGCGAACTAGTTAACCCCGGTAAATCGCGAAATAAAGTCGTCGCGAATAAAAGTAGGTTTACAGTACAGTGAAACCTGTCTAATCTGACATGCACTGGGAGACAAATTTTGTGTCGAAATATACAGGGTGTCGGATTGCACAGTGTTAAAAACATGGAAAATACTATAATGGGAAAGAAATTTATCGTCGGAATTCACAGTGTGTCGGATTATTCAGGTGTCGGATTAGACAGTTTTTACTGTACTTCCTTGCTACATTTCCGTGAATAATTTACTCTATCTCGCTGAAGTCTCGCTTACTCTCGCCAGAGCCACTGTCAGAGCTACTCTGAAATCATCGGGTTTTATGATTTGTAGAACACCGAAAAAGAAAAGGTTCCGAACACATTAGTAGGGGTGATAAAGTATTCCTACGTTGTACAGAATTAATCGATTGTATGGAGCCTCAAACAGAAATCATTTTAATATTTTCGTTTTTCGAATATAAAAGATTTTTTTTTGATTTAACAATATGTAAACTCATGACTTTTTACCTAAATTTCTTAAATTTTTTTCTCTTATTCAATTCGTGAGTACAAAGGCATGAGTTTACACGAGGCATGAGTTTACACGATAAATTCTAATAATAATAATAATTTTTTAAAAAATAAATAAAAAAAAAAATTTAATCCTATAATAATGTAAAATGTTTATTGAGTCTATTTATGATTCGATTTAAACACTTCGTTATGTTACATGTATGATTAATTCAACATCATATAATCAAGTAAATTAATTGTTTCAAATGCAAAAATCTTCAAGTTTATACATGCAAGCGGTAAGGAAGAGTTACTCCCTATCTTAAATCTATTTTCTTTGATAAAATAGATAATAAGTGATTTATATTAAATCAAGTTTTCCCTTACATTCATTGCATCTTTCTCCAATATATCCATCCTTGCATCCTTTTGGACAAACTCCGTTTATATGACTACATATTTCATCATTGAAACACTTCTGGCTGCAAAGTTCCTTGCATTGCGTCCCGAAGTATCCAGAGTTGCATTCTATGGACATTTCAGAGGATATATTCAAATACTTTTTATTTTCATCTTTATGATACATGTATAATTACCTTTTCTACACATTACCTTAAATATTTCTATCAATTAGATGTACCTGCGTTACATAAATTCCCTGTATATCCCGGATTACACCCAGCCTCACAGTGTCCAGTTTGTTTGTTACAGTGAACATCATTCAGACAGTGACCACTGCAGTTATATATACAACCTGGACCGTAGTTTCCATCTTTACATGCTGTTGATAATAAATTACACAATAAATTTTATCAAACTTTGTTTTATCAATAAAGAATAAGTATTTTTAAGCTGTTTCACATTTGGATATTTTACTTGAAAAAGACGTCAATGGTTATCTAACAACCAAAAAAAAAGTATAAAGTGATGATGAAAGCTTTTCTATCGTCAACTCTCCTTCACCTGCATACGGAGTTTATGTATTTCAGTTGATTTGATACGTAAGAGCATCACCTACATATGAGCAATTTCTGAACAAGGTAAGTTATAGACAATCAAATTGATGAGACAAGAATATCAATATCGTTTGAAGTCATCATTTCGTAAGTTTTATGACCAAATACAATTTATCATTGAATCAAATGCTGAGTGACATTTTTCATACTAATTGTGAGCCCATTATTTATACACTGAATTGACGGCGGACTTTTCTGTTTTTTCCCGATAATGACAAAGAGCACACGGTCGGCAGGGGATGCTCACTCCACCATGGCACCTAATCCAACCTATAATGTTTTCTAAGTCCGTGTTCGCTTTGTTCTTGTTTTGTTCTTGAATTCTGTTCGTTATCTCCATGTTTCATTGTAAAAACTTAAGATTAAAAGCTATCATCAATTTTTTAAAATGAATCCATTCATGTAAATTATTTGTGTTTCCTCTTAAACTTAGCAGCTATGTTTCTCGGTAATAGAAATGGAAAATTAACTTATGTAATAAAGGAAAACATCAAAATATCTGAATATAGCGATATAGGTAATATAGGGAAGATTAAACTTTTCTTAAATGCAAACACACTGGAAATATTATTCTGAAATATTAAAGTAGGCCATAATTAAAGACTTTTTATAAGTTTGGAAATCCCCAAGGTCAATATCAAAAGATCAAGATAATTGGTATCTAATGAAAGGTCTTGCCATAAAAAATACATCTGTGACATCAGCCCCAACCCTTCAAAAGTTATGAGTAAGATTAAAAATTTTAAAATGTAGGTCAAACTCAAAGGTCAAAGGATCAAAGGATATTACTATCAAATGAAAGTCTGCTCACACAGATTAAACATGTAGAGCATGAAAACACTAGCCCTAATTCTTAAAAAGTTATGGTCAATGTTTGCTTTTGAAAAAGTAACTCAAACTTCAAGGTTAAAGAGTCAAAGTTCTTGGTATCCAATGAAGGGTCTTTTAACAAGGATTACATATATATAGTATGAGATCACTAACCCTTAGCGTTCAAAAGGTATGGTCAAGGTTAAAGTTTTTTTCATAAGTACAAAAATCTTCAAGATCAAGGTAATTGGTATCCAATGAAATGTCTTGCGAAAAATATATATATATATATCTCAAAGGTCAAGGTCAAAGGATCAAAGGTCTTACTATCAAATGAAAGGTCTTGTCACAATGGTTTATATGTGAAGTATGAAAGCGGTAGCCCTAACCCATTAAAAGTTATGATCAAGGATTACTTTTTAAAAGTAGGTCAAACTTCAAGGTCAAGGTCACTTCGTTTACGGGGGCATAAAAATACTCAGAGTGCTATTATTCTTACGTTTTTTACATTGATTTCCCATCCATCCATTAGCACATCCATTGTCACAATGACCTGTTACGTGATTACATGTCTCCTTGTTTTTACAATAGCCGGAACATGGTTGTTTACAGTTGAGACCGTACCACCCCTTTTCACACTCTGGGAAAAAGAAGAACGAAATGCATTATTGTAAAATGAAAAGGTTAAATGCATAAAATATACTCTCTAAGAACATTAAATCGATAACCTGTCAGTTAATATTCATTGTTTAACGATAGTTTATGATAAATTATACAGTTAATAAATACTATTTGTGCACAGTGTTCCTGTCCATCCTGGAATACATTTCGGGCATGTTCCATTTAAAATGTTACATATTTTATTCTCGCAGTTGGCTGGACAATTCTTGTCACAATTTCTTCCATAATATGTTTTATTACAGCCTGATGAAAAAACCAAACAAATGTAAACTTTATACATATGTAAAAAACAGAAGTATACTCTGTTTTTCGAGAACTTCTATGAAAAATGTCTAAAGAAAACGCAGACCCCCCCCCCAGAAATTTCAATCAGCGCTAGTCAGTCGAAAGAAAAATGTACATAAAAATATTTGTTCTGCTTAATTTAAAAATCCCATTCATAAGAAAAACATTTAATACGAATTGGCTTTTCAGTTTAAAACGATACAGTTTAAAGTTTAAAGCTAAAAAGGTCAGTTTTCTGTCATTTAAAGTATTCATTCTTTTTTTTTAAATACAGGTGTATTTAAATTAAACTAGATATAACTGAAATGTTGGTCCTCTCAAAGGGTCCCGCTCACAGCAATATTAGGTAGATGAAAAGTAACTACAAAAATCACAAATGTTGCATATTCTCTATGAAAATTGTTGCATATCCTCTATCAAAATATTGAAGGAAAATCACAAATGTTCCATACCCTAGGTAATTTGGTAAAGTTCAAGGCTGACTGGACTTAAAATCAAGATCTAGTAAATGAAAAGGGCCTACAGATTTATCAAATTTGAGAAATAAATTTCTTTAATGATGCTTGATAATTTAATCTTAGTCAAATAAAGAACTTAGGGTCATAATTTACAAGTAGACAAGATGAAAAATCTTATTTTTAAGTGTAATTTTTAATGAATAATTTCCGGTACAGCCTAATAAAGAAAAAAAATCCAAACAAACATAAACTTTATACATAGGTAAAAATCAGAAATATACTCTTAGTATAGTTTTTTTTTTATAGAATTTCTATACAAAAAATGCCTTAAGAAAATGCAGAAAATAACAGAAACTTCAATCTGCACTAGTCGATCGAAAACGAAACGTACATACATGTAAAATATATGTTCTGATTAATTTAAAAATCCAATATATACGAAAAGAAAAACATTTAAAACGAATTGGCTTTTCAATGTAAAACGATACAGTTTAAAGTTTAGAGTTAAAAAAGACAGTCTTGCATACGAAGAGGGGAAAAAAAACAGAATCAGAAATTTAATTTCAACATCTTCAGGGTCATTGATACACTGATGAGAGATAACTCTGAATGAAATAAATGTCTTTTTTTCCTTTATAGATTTGCCAGGTTGAAGTATCTTTTTTGTACAGCTGTACAATTTTGCGTCCGCAAGCTGTGCTATAATTGTTTGCATTTTTCTTATAAAATACATTATTATTGAAAAATCATTAAGGTTCAAGCAACATGTTATGTGAGTGAGCAGAGGGTTTATGAACCTTAAGACTAGAATACTGAAAGTTCTCAAATGATCATACCTCTTGTAAATTTAAATGCGAATTGGGTGCATTTTTGTAGTTTTCAAAAAAAAAGCGGGAAAGAGAGAAATAAATAGATCTTTGTGTACCCATCGGGAATGCGAAATTTTATAATATTTGCATATCAAAATCTGCCCTCTATCTGTTTATATTTTTTTCTTTTTGCAGGAGTTAAAACATAAATAATAGTTAACTGTTGTTAAAAAGAAATCTTCACTTTAATTGAAACTAAAGGCTAAAAAGTGGCACTTACAGTCATGCATAATGTATGTGCCGTAAAGAACATGAAAGACCTAGTGCAAACTGCGGTTTTGTCCCTCAGGCACTAACCCATAGTTATAGTCTCAAAAGATAAGGTCTTTTGATGTGCATTTAAGATTGTTTACAATAAGTTTGTGCGATATCAAAACTAGCATACAAACTTAAGATAAAATGTCGACTTCATTATTCGAAAGTAAACAAAATGAAAGACAATATCTTTAAAGGTCTATATAGGCCCTTTGTCAGTGCAATGTAAAGCAAGTTAACTTCTTTATTGAAAAATACGGAACCAATTCTTCTATCCTTACATTAGCTTGATTTAAGGTCAATATTTAAATCATGGTAAATATTTCAGACTTTAATAGACAACATCATACGGTCATTGATGTTTTAAGGTAAAAATATTTGGCTACACGAAAAGTACAGTCCGAAAGACCTTTACAAAATAAACATATGTATATGCATAAAAAAATGTATATTTTACCTTCTACTCTAACCTCGCACAACTCAGTATATATCACTTTTTCGTATCCTGTGGGATAAATATATCCCCTCAAACGCGCATTGTAGAAGATGACATAACGCCCGTATCCGATACATAATGTCGTAAAATTTAATGGTGGTAACGATGGTCCGTCTTCGTAACAAAGCGAGGCATTGTCTCGATAACCAGATTCAGATAGGTACAAAGAAAATCCAGCAAAGCGACCCCTTTGTCGGTCCACTGCAAAAAGATTTCATTTAAAATTATAACTTCTCAAAAGCATTCTAATTCATTGTACAAAATTTTCTGCATGTCTCTTTAAATTCATATTTGAATATGATCTGTCGCATATGTTTCATATCTTTTTTTTTTCACTGACTAAAGGCGACAAAGGTCAATTTATAACTAAATTGTAAGGCACACGAAATAATTGACTGTCTACTATCGTTTACTTTCCTTATTTATTGAGTAATACATTATTTCTGCAATCCCGGGAATATGGTGATTACATATATATGTATACCTTCAACAAACATTGCTAAATCAGTGAGATGTGTTCGATTCTTAAAAGTGACTTATTTGTAAGATTTCCAAAATTTTAGAAGAAGAATTGATTGCTAAATAAGTACAATGAACTGTTGGAACCTTTGTTGAAATAATACCTTTTTAAAAAATGATATAAGGATTAAATGTTTCTTATTTCGTTCTTGATTGTAATGCAATATTAACTTGGATAAAAATGAGTGATTAATTCTACAGGTATGTTATTAAACGTCCTTTTTATTAGTATTTATTGTGCGGAAAAGTCATCGCATGACGGATGTTCAATTAAATAATAATAATAATAAAAAAAAAAAAAAAAAAAAAAGGAAAACACAAAACGCACAATAATCATAAAAGTAAATTTTTGTAAATATATGGAGTAATTGTTTTCATCCTATCCTGGGGCCCGTTTCACAAAACTATTTTAAGATTTGTCCTAAGACAGATCTTAAGATCTGACTTAAAACAATCATAAGATTTGTCACTGCTGTTTCACAAAACTGTCATAAGTTGCTGAAATCTTAAGACTTGTCTTAAGATATACCTCGTGCCACAATGTTATAGAGTATGTTATAAAAGACAAATTAAAACAAAAATATTCTTGTTCTTAGTTAAGTTTTCTTCAAATACATATTTGTATTTATATTTTAAATGTTGTAAATGAAAGTTTTTTTTAAAATATTGTAAAGGAGTTTATCGATCATAAATAAAATGTTAATTTTCTTAAGGTATAGCTATACTCAGTTGACTAAAAATTCCACTGATAAGAACAAAAAACCACTTATTGCACATTGTACACCTATGATTTTTGTGTTAAACTTCATTTTCAAATACATGTAACTAGGTCAATGACCTACTTTTCATGCTGGTATTTCTCGGAAAATACCTCAATTTTTCACACTATGTTCAATTTTTTTCTTAACTCACAAAATATTACAAGAAACACAACTCTTTTAATAATGAAATATTATAGCAACGGAACAGCGTTGTTTCATTTAAAAAACAATTAGAGTTTGGGTAATAACTTAATAAATATTACAGTCAGAATTTCCTCTGTTGTATTTATATTTTTTCCCCATTTTTAATCGAATATTTAAAATATCTGAATGATAAGAACTCTAAGAAACTTATAACCTCAGGTTACTTTTGTTGCCCTAATTCTCATGGTATTAATATTATATGGGGTCAATGATCAAATTATTGAGATATGTTGTCTGGAATGGTTTTTTTCTTCATATTTTTAAATTCCTTTATTTCATAGCATTCAATTATTTGAAATAATTTATAAGATTTAATACATATAATATTTGCAAAATGATGTTTAAAAATACATATAACCTTAACATTGTAATAAATATTGCAAAAATTTTTAATTTTGACAAACATGAAAAATTTAGTGCGAATTTCCTCTGCATTACCAAATAGTTATTTTGGTTCCTGTTTATTTTCTTCGAATAATAAAACATTTAATTTTTTAAGGGCGTCTTAAAATTGCAGAGCAGCAACTACAATTACAACGTGAACAACATACGCTTCACTTCTGTCAGCTTGGAATAGTTAGTAATGCTGCAAAAAACAGTCTATGATTAGGGAGAGTCGTGGCTGTTTGTCAAGTGTGCAGCCACGTTTTGATTTTGGTCCTGTAGTCGATTTTCTATGGCGAATTCCAGAAGTTAGTCTGGTGAACGGGTAGCCTACTAGTCGTTTTTTCTACTGCATGGGCATTTCTTTCTCCAGCCGGTAAACTATTTTCTTTTGTATATACTTTGTGGGTTTTGTTGTAAATTTACGGGTTTTGTGTCCGTTATTATTTGTAGTTTAAGTGAGTAGTGTTTAGGTCTTAGATAAAGTAATTATTGTTTCAGTGCAGAGGGGTTATGATAATAAACCTGGGGCGGCAGTAGGTTTTTGGACCTCAAGTGGGAGTTAGGTCGTGTGAAGAAGCGAGGGCTCGAGCACGTGCGTGACGCGGGGCGTGGTACCGGTGCGCAAGGACAGTGTTTATAGAGATTTGGTGTCGTTTCCGACTGAATTATAGGGACTGAATTCTTCAGTTTTCCAGTGGGAAACCTGTGAGTCCAGGGCTGGAATCAGAGGGGCAGTATGGAGGCCTGGTGGTGTAAAATACAATGAATAAAATAGCCAAAAGTCAAACCTCTCAATTCTGGTTTTACGAAATAAAGCATTAATAAGAATCCACAATAATTTTAACGGATTTGATATTTACAGATATTGCTTATTAAAGATTGATTTTTTTTTCTACGAGAACGAAACTAATTCAGTTTTGATTTTTCTTCTTGATTGTTTCAATTAAAGTTACAATTTATGGTTTGAAATCAACTGTTTATTGACAATTGATTGTGTTTAAAGTTAAATCTGTATTTCATTGTCAATATTATCTGGTTTTCAAATTAAATTCATATTTTGTTTTCTTTGTGACAAAGGGTTGTGAGAGTGAGTTTGTTTTGATAATTTCTTATTTTGTTTTTTTTTCTTTTATTTTGATAAATTCATTTTGTTTTGTTTATTCTACGGCTTATCGTTCCCTCTACTGCCCGCACAGAATCCAAAAGAACTTCATGACATAATGTGTTCAATTTACTACTTGTTTTCTATTCTTGGTGGTCATTACAATCACAAGATACAGAAAACATTTGATTTTCCTTTTATGAAAGTTACCAATATTTCATGAAAATTAAATCTCATGCACTAAAAGTTGGGTAATGTACAAATGGACAAAATATTTCTAATAATAAACATTAATGTATAGTTGGTTCCGAATCCATGCTTTCTATGATACAGAAATTGAAAACGTCACAATATTCCACGAATACACACACAAAAATACTCTAAGTTGTGGCGCAACTTAAAATCTAGAAAAAATCAATCGTTGGCGGATCTTGGTCCCGTCATAGTTTGGTCCTTGGTATAAGTAGTTGTCTGGTGGATTAAGTTGATATACACCAGGGTTTTGTGCTTGTGGTACCGGAACATTGTGATCAGCACACATTTTGTGGAGAACAACACAAGCAGTCACAATTTTACATGCTCTTGCTGATTGAAAGAGTAGCGTTCCACAAGAATGATCAATGCACCGAAAGCGCATTTTAAGCACATCGAAGCTTCTTTCAATAGGGTTTCTCGTCTTAGCATGCGCATCGTTGTACGCTAATTCACGGGGATTGCTTGGGTTGAGCACTGGTGTAATCAGATACTTTGTCAAAGGGTATGCACTGTCCCCATGCAACCAACCACTTCTGATACCCCTATTTTCAAAAAGATCACCTAGTGATGAATTTGTCCACACAAAAGCATCGTGTGATGACCCAGGCCACCTGACAACTATGGTAGTAAATTTTGTACTAGAATCACAGACTGCTAAACATTAATAGAATGAAATTTTTTCCTGTTCACAAACATATGCTCATCATTTTTCGGGGCTTTAATTGGTACATGCATTCCATCTATTGCTCCAATGACATTAGGGAAATTTTTAATGCGGAAAAAAACCAAGTATGGTGTTTTTGCTACTTCTGTCATCGAAAGGAAATTTAATATAATCAGAACATACATGTACTAGAGCTGATGATACAACATTTATTACTCTTGAAACACTGCCTTTGCTAATGCCAAGGAGATCCCCAGGGACGGTTTGAAAGTTCCTACTGGCTTAAACCTGAGTGCCATCATGATTTGCAGTGATGTAGGAAGATCATGACACCTGCTAGTAGCATGTGCTAGATGAGCATTAAGCTCTGCACATAAACTTAAAATTAAATGGCATGGAAGGCGGAACCTATGAATATTATCAGCATCAGGCATATAGTCCAATGGGTTGTTCCTATCTCTAATTTTTCTTAAGTTTCTTCTGTTTTGGCCAAAATATAGGCGGCCGCCATGTTAACTTTGGTCTTGAGACCTGTATCCGGTTGTCTTAAGATTAAGATAGATCTTAAGATTGAGTTTTGTGAAACAGCTATGGTAAAATCTTTAGATAATTTTCGGTCTTAAGACAGATTTTAGTCGTAAGATAGTTTTGTGAAACGGGCCCCTGATTGGCAAACTCTGACATGACTGAAGTGCGAAGAAAATAAGCACACGTGTTGGACATAGTTTAAAGCATATGTATAACAGGTATAACTGAAATAAACTGGATAGAAATTAAATAATATACTTAATTGAATTTCAAACTTTGTAGAAATACCGTTTTTAACGTATTCTCTAGCTAGATGCCTTACGGATTATTCAGAGACAACTTCTTAATATATTAAGTTTAAAAACAAAGACTGGCCTCGGGAGAGGAAAAATACTTATCATCTTTCCTTCTATTAATATTCAATATAGCATTATTTATTTTTAAAAAACTTTTTTCAAGCTTTAAATAATTCACTGGCATTTAATTCATACAGTAGAGGCAACGCGGATCCGGTATTTCCCGCGACCCGTAGCATAATTTGCTCTTCTTAACTAAACATTTGTTTTGTGTATTTTTATTTATACATTGTGGTGCCATAAGTGTTTCACATTTACACATTACTGAAGAAAAATCGAAACTATCTTGCAACCTCAATCCCTGTTTTCTATGATATTATATATCGTTCTCTAATTATTTTTGGATATAAGAAAATAGAAGTTATGTACGTCATTCGGGATTCCCCTGGTGCACGTGGGGCTATTTTTAGATACCCTAAGCAGGC